TTATGCAAAATTTACAATGATTTACGGTATTGAGCGCACAAGGTAGGTGTAAAGCAACAAATATTCGTGCGGTTAACCAAATTACTTCAAACTTGGTGCGAGAATGCATGACCGCACCGGCAAACCTGGTGCGTTCCAGCCTAAGTTTTTTGCATGAGCCGATCGTTTCCCCGGTGAATGCTCATTCACTGAACCCAGGCTGAAACGCACCAAGCCGGTGCGATCATGCGTTTTTGCACCAAACATGAAATAGGTTAACTGCATGAACGGTTGTTTCTTCACACCTCTCTTGTGCGCCCCGTACCGTAAATCATCGTAAATTTTGCACAAAAGGAAATAAACAACTTCCGCTTAACGGTCATTTTTATTTGAAAATGACTAAGCTGTTCAATGAGTAATTTCTCCACCAGAAATTTAAGTGCCGTACACGAGAACTAGGCATGCCTGGGGGATGAATTTGACAGCTTTAAATCATACATCGGCTGAGAACATCCCCTGAAAATTTCAGTCTCCCAGCTTTGCTAGTTCCCGAGTTAACCATTTTCCTGCCAAGAAATTTCACGGGGCTGTACTGGGCAAAAAATTTCACAGAACTACGTACAACTGGAGGCTGAATTTGAAACCTTTGTATCACGTGTACGGGGAACATAACCTCAAAATTTCAGCTTTCTATCTTTCTCGTTGCTGAGTTATCAATTTTCCCGCCAAAACTTTCACCCCCTTATACGCGGGGCCCAGACTTGCATGAGGGTTGATACTGCGGTTCTGGGGTGGCACATGGCTGGAGAACCTACTAGCAAAATCTTGGCGCTGGAACTTGCATGGTTGCCGAGTTGAAATACCCAGACGGACAAACATACATACATACACACACACACAAAACATACACACACATACACACGTACACACACAGACAGGGTCATCGCAATATGCGTTTTTGCAATTTGCGTATAGGCAAAAACGCTTAAAAAATGCAAATTTGAGGGAGGTCGGAAGAGGACTATGAAATCTGCAGAATGCACGCATTTTTGAGTTTACAGTAAAACTGAGTATTTTTTTATGCCTGCTTGCAGGGAATTTCACCTCCAAGCGGAATTAAGACCAAATGTGACTACCAATTATCCTCATAAAGTTTCAGACTAGCAACTTGTCTAGTAAGTGAAGTAGCCAGTTCACTACAAAAATCTTTGAAGCACCCTAAATCGCGGCGCAAGTGCAAATCGAAGT